TATGTATGTATGTATGTATGTATGTATGTGTGTGTGTATGTGTGTGTAAGGAGCTCCATGGCACACAACAACATATATACATATGTATATATGAGTGTATATAAGGAGCTCTGGTAGCATAGTTGTTATGAGTTGGACTGCTAACCTCAAGATCAGTAGTTCGAAACTGTCAGCTGTTTCATGGTAGACAGATGAGGATTTCTGCCCCTGTAAAGATTTACAGCCTTGGAAACTCTATTGGGGTCACTATAAGTCAGAACTGACTCCACAGTACATACAACCACCATCATGTGTGCTGTTGTTACTTGCCGTTGAGTCAGTTCCAACTCATAACAACCCTATATAGAGTTTCCAAGGAGCAACTAGTGAACTAGAACCACCGACCTTGTGGTTCAAACTGGCTTTGCACTTGGCAGTCCATCACATGAACCCACAGCACCACACCAGGACTTTCTCTCTCTCTGTCTCTTTCTATATATGTAGATATATGTAGTTGTTGTAGTTATTAAGTGACATCAAGTCAGTTCCTACTCATAGTGACGCTGTATAGAGTTTCCAAGGAGCAGCTGGTGAGTTTGAACTGCTGACCTTGACATTCAAGCCAACCTTGTGGTCCAGTGCATTATCCTGCAGCCATATGACTTCTAGTGTGGCGTTGTGGATCAGCACTGGACTGCAAATCACCTCTGTCTTAGCCGCTCATTGCAATGGAGTTTGCAGGAGAATCCTCTAATACCTTCCCTCACCCTCTATTTTGAATATGATTGGTAATTACCTCTTGCTAACTGAAAGGGGAAATAAAAAACAGTCCAAGTAGAGATAAAACTTGATATTCAAAATCCTGAGGTGATTTCATGCTTTCATTAGCATGCACAGCAGTTTCTATCTAGAAAGCAGATTCTGACAAGGGTGGCATGGTGCGGGCTAAGGGACAGGAAAGAGGACAGGATCAACCTAAAAGGTCAGAAAAGGATTAAAGTGGCACCCAAAAGAGAGCAGCTACCCAGACAATGTGGGCCAACTCACTATTTCACTCTGAATGGATCACATTGCTGGGGTTTACCAAGGTGCACCCTTCTAAAGGACTTTCTCTGGGTTCATCAAACCTTGAATTAGGGTCTACATCTCCTCTGAACTGAGTAGTGACAATGCCAATTTTAGTGATTAACAGAGGACACACGGGTCCACAGATTGTTCCCAGGATCTGAATTGTTTCCGTTTCTAACCTAGGAGCCAGCTCGATAGCTCTTAGTTCGCACTGAGCCATGGTAAAGGCCTAATGCTGGGAGCCTCACTGTTCTATTTAGAGATATTTTTCATCATTAACTTTTTATTGAAATGTGACCTTTTTTTCCTACCCACTGATATCTCTCTTTTGAAATATAAGGTCCTAAATGGTACAATTCTAATTTTAAATGCATATTTCTCTCTTTATAATGGAACAGCTGAGCACATTTTGTTCTCATGCTGTGAAATTCATGTTCAAAAATATCAGAGTTTTCCTTTTCAGCTTTTTCTCTTTTAAATTCCTTTATTTGTACGATATACTATTGAAATGGCAAACATGTAATAATGATTTTCCATTCTAAACATGAAATAAAATTATTCAGAACAAAATTAGTATTACAACAAAAACTATTTGGTATGATAATCATTTTTGTATTAGCTATGCATAATCAATAAGACTGTGGATTATTTATCCTTCAAAATGTTAATTTACAATTTAATAATATCAGTAGTATAAAAATAATGAAGGAAAAGTACAAGTATGTGATAATCCAGTTAACAAATACAAATGTACTCTTCCTGGTGTGGTGCTGTGGTTAATGCACTGGACTGCATGGTCGGTTTGATCTGCAAGGTCGGCAGTTCAAGCGCACCAGAACCTTCTCAGAAACCCTATACAGGGTCTCTATAAGTCGGAAACTGACTTTAAAAACTGACTTAAAAACAATAACAACAACTTCTATATATTGCTTTAAATAGGTAACTAAGGAAAAACAAACACAGCATCAGTTTCACATGAAATATAGGGCTAGTGCCGAGATACTGTGGGTTTACTTCCAGACTACCCCAATAATGGAAGTATGGCAATAAAGCAACTTGCATGATATTTTAAAATTTTCACAATACATATAAAAGTTATATTTACTCTACCTTATAGTTTAATAAGTGTGCAATAGTGTGGTGCCCCAAATTTACTTGGTATGGCTTTTCTATCCAGTCTTCTTAATTCCCACCAAGCAATTGGGTGGGACCATGCAAATAAGGTATACAAGACTCTAAGGCTGCGATTGGTCATTTTTGTCCTCCAGCTAAGTTTAAAAGGAGCCATCTCAGCAACAGAGACAGAAGATCCCAGAACCATCAGGAAGAAAGAGTATGAGTGGAGCCTAAGACATCGAGAAACGATCGTAAGAGGCAACAGCAAAGATGGTGGCATGGAGAGACAGAGCAGCTTCCAGCTCTAGGTCCATGGACTGAGTAAAGTTCAGTGCTTATGGGCAGAAGAGTGACTTGGAGAATGTGCCCTTTGAGCATTCACAGACTGGCTAAAAAAGTTTTGTATCACTTGCCTGAGTAGAGCAGAGGCTAAGGGGCCACATGTCTGAGAGGCAGAAGAAGAGATTAAGGCGTGCCCACAATAAGGCAGACAAGAGGTTCTCCCGACAAAACTGCTGCATACTTAGTTGGTTTTGATCCTTAATCATACCCTGTTCACTTCCCTAATGAGCCCCATAATCACGAGTATTATTATGAGTTCTGTGTGGCCATTGCAAGGGATTATGGAACCCAGACGTGAAGCAGAGTGCTGTGGCATGAATGGTTGGTGTCAGAATAGGGGAAAGAAGGTTGTAGGGTGGAGGCATGTCTGACCTCCACTTTATAGGAATCAGCCTTGAGCTGATTTTGAGTTTGATTCTCTTTCCCTCTGGTGAAGTTAGGGGATGATCGACATGGTCCCGTCGTGGCTTTTGCAATTCCCTTTCCCTTGGTGTTTATAGAATATGAGGTTTCTTTATGGATTTTACAATAGCTGGTAAAGAACAGATAATTTAGACACCATTCGCATTAACCACATCATATAATTTTGGTAAATAACATATTATCTGACATCTGTGTGAATACCATGTATCCTTTTTTTCTAGTCAGTAAATGCCAGTACATAGTTAATCCTTACCAATCATCTGTTTTTATATTTTATTCATGAAAAGATGGCCATGTTTACTACTGTTGTGATGCTGTTAGGTGCACTGACTCATAGTGACCCTACGCACAACACAACAAGACACTGCTAGGTTCTGCACCAACCTCACAATCGTTACTAGGCTTGAGCCTATAGCTGCTGCCACTGTATCACTCCATCTCATAGAGAGTTTTCCTCTTTTTCTCCAACCCTCCACTTTACCAAAGATGATCTCCTTCTCCAGAGACTGGTCCCGCCTGATAATATGTCTGAAGTATTAGATACGAAGCCTGGCCATCCTGGTTTCCAAGAAGCACTCTGGCTGTACTTCTTCCAGCACAGACTGGTTTGTTCTTTAGCAGCCCATGGTACTTTTAATATTCTCCTCCAACACCACAACTCAAATACTTCAATTCTTCTATGGTCTTCCTTATTCACTGTCCAATTTTCAAATGCATGTAAGGTTATTGAAAATACTATGGCTTGTGTCAGGCGCACCTTTTTCCTCAAACTGATGTTTTTACTCTTGAAACTTTAAAGAGGTCTGTGGAGCAGATTTGCCTAATGCAATATGTCATTTGATTTCTAGATTGCTGCTTCCATGAGTGTTGATGGTTGATCCAAGCAAAATGAAGTCTTTGACAACTTTAGTCTTTTCCCAATTTATATGGATGTTATTTATTGGTCCAGTGCAGAGGATTTTTTTTTTTCCCCTTTACACTGAGATGCAACTCATACCACAGACTGTGATTTTTTATCCTCATCAATAAGTATTTTAAGTCCTTTTCACTTTCAGCAAGCAAGGTTGTACCATGTGCATATTCAAGTTGTTAATCAGTCTTCCTCCATTCCTGATGCCTTGTTTTTCTTCATATAATCCAGATTTTCTGATTACTTGCTTAGCACATACAGACTGAGTAAATATAATGAAAGACTATAACCCTGGCACACACCTTTGCTAATTTTAAAACATTCATTGTTCCCTTGTTCTGTTCAAACAACTGCATTTTGGTAGATGTATACTTTACTCATGAGCACAGTTAAGTATTCCGGAATATTAATGCTCCACAATGCTGTCCATAGCTTGTCATGATCCACACAATCAAAAGCTTCTGTGTAGTCAATAAAGCACATGTAACACCTTTTGGTATTCTCTGCCTTCAGCCAAAATCCATCGGACATCAGCAATGATATCTCTCGTTCCACATTCTCTTCTAAATCTGCCTTGAGCCTCTGGAAGTTTTCTGTCAATGTGTGTGTGTTTTTATATTACCTTTAGTAAAACTTGACTC